GGGGGGGGGGGGGGGACTTACACTTGTTGTATAAGCTGCTTCAGGGTCATCCTCTAGTACCCGTGATAATCCAAAATCAGAGACTTTGCACATAAGATTACTGTTGACCAATATATTCCGAGCTGCCAAGTCCCGATGTACATAACCCATATCTGAGAGATATTTCATGCCTGAAGCAATTCCACGAAGCATCCCAACGAGCTGGATGACTGTGAAGTGGCCATCATGTTTCTGAAAGGAAGGTAGAGTTTCATTTGACATTTTCATGTTGTGCTGGTCAAATTCAAATCAATTTATATTTCAAAGATCTGATTACTTTTCAACTAAATCTTCCATGAGCCCAGAGTTTTCACTTGAGGCACAGATGGCCAGGGTCAAAGTATCTTATTTTAGACAGGATCAAAGACTTAAAGAAGTCCTAATTCTGGGAAAGTTGGAAATAAAAAGAGGATGACCAGCAGCCAAGTGTATGGACTCAGTTACAGTGACAATAGGTACAGCATTGGAAGATCTGGAGGGCCAGGCTGGGGACACAGTGTCCTGGAGAAAATCTACCTATGTTATCACGAAGAGCTGACACTGACCTGATGGCATATAATTAATAATTAATCAATTTCTATGAGACATAACAGCAGCTAATAATATCTCTAAAATCCAGCATGGAGTTAACCAATTTCAGACAACTGCAGAGTGTAATGCTTGATGAAGCAATTTTAATCTGCACTTAACTGAGAAATGGAGGTTGCACTATGATGCCCTACGTAGAAAGTGCATAGATGATTATGGAAGGAGAGCCTCACATCAGTCAGTATAAGCCTCTCCCTCCTGTCTCTCCAGTTCCAGGCCTTTGGTTCAGCCAGGGACTAAAGACTCCTCTCTCCTACCAACTACCAAAGAAAGACAGCAGGGATATTTGAGGAGGAGATGCATCGGGGTACATTTCCATGAAAGGTGAGGAGCAGAAGAGAAGAGTTCCAGGATATAAATAATGGAGAAAACTAGAATATAGTATTGCATTAGAAAAACAAACTTTTGTTTTTGTGTAATAAATCTTCTCCTGAAATAAAGGGAAATAAATTTTATTCTTGTCTGTGGTCTACACCATGCTGTAATTGACTACTTAGAGCCTGGGAAAGACAGTGGCAGTTTGCAAAATATTATAGGGCCAGAACATCTGTCCATTCCTCCTGTAGCAGGGAAGTGATTGAATCTGGTTAATAAGACTATGTGAAAATCTAGCCTTCTTGGTTGCGAGCAGCTGCTAGGGGCTTGACATTAATCTTGGAGATTGGATAGGTGTATTTTAACACCTACTTATCAGTAAATTTGTTAGGGCAGGGATTCTTTGATTCTCTTGCTGACTGCCTCTTGAAGCAGTGGGAATTTTGCAAAAGTTCTGGCCATGGAATACTTTGCAAACTGACATCCTCTTTCTCAGTCTCTCAGAAGTCCATCATACATCCCTAAAAACAAATAGGAGTTTGAAAATAAATATTAGCTGATGTTAAAAATATTGGATTGCACCATGGGTGGGCAACCTGAGAGAAACATTTGATGCTTTGCAATGGAAGAATCTAGAGTATTTGAAGCTTATTTTATAGCAAGTAGGTGTAAAAGGATTATAATGCAGATTTTAAAAATAATCATAAAGTAAGTTCTTATAAATCATACTGATATTTCTGTCAAACAGATTTAAGATAACGTATGGATGAAATGCTGTGTGCTAAATAAGAAGTTATTTCTTCCTTAAACCTGTGACGTTTTAATTAAATATGAATACTATGGGAATTATAGAGGGCAAGCCTAAATAATAATTTCTCCAAGGGTGTCTCTATGAAAATAATGTGGGCAACATAACCCAAAGAAGAGAAACTTCAATATTATTATTTGTTTATATTATTCATTTTTGCATACAGAAAGATCGGCTAAGAACTGCCTCCTGTTGAGAGAATGCTGTACTGAGGCTTCAATCAATAGAATAGGGAGACAGACATAGTTTACAGTCTTTGCAGCTTTCCACAACCTCCCAGGGAGGCTTCCGATGGCTGGAGGATCTCCTTCACAAATAGCTTGAGAAGTGGAGTGAGCAGCTTCTACAGCTCCTCAGGAATAGCTCATCCTGGACATCAGAATGGCCTTCCTTCTTGAAATAAGGCTGGACTGTTATGACTACTCCTTCTGATGAGGACTTATGTTTTCATTTTTGGGCCAGTGAGTATAGTATTTTACTTTTTGTTTTTATATTTTCCCCCTATTGGTTTGTCCTAAGGTTATTATTTACATTGCTTTGTTTACTTTGTGTTTAATCTGAGTTTACAAAGATAGAAAATGGTATGCTGCTTAGAGATGGCTCTGATTGCAGCTAATAAAACTTCTAGATAAAAAAAGGGAAGCTGGCAAGAACCTTCTTCTCTTTGATCTCTTCGAATGCTTTGCTGGATGAAGCAGGCTTCTCTCAGTCAAGGGACAACAACAGATATAACACTTCATGTAGAATTCAAAATTCATAAGTATTGCTTACATAACCAACATATTGTAGAACTTTATAATAATCATGTCACACATTTCGGCAACAATTTGGAAACGAGCAGTTTAAAGCTACTGTGTAAAGACATCTGCTGTACATAGACACATATGTGCATACGTATATTTAAACTTGAGGATAATATCTGAATTTTCTAGAATGTGGAATTATTTACTTTGAATATTTGATTCAATTGAATTTCTAAAGTGAATTTATTTTTTTGAATCAAATTGTTCTGGAGCATCAAATTGAATTTTTCTGAATCAGTTTAGTGATCTGATGGGCTTTTTGGCTTCTGCAATCCCCATTTTTTCTTGAATTGAATTGACAAGCTGAACCAAATTTGATTTAACAAGTCTAGCATTTTCTAAGAACATGGATGTGTAGTTGTCCATATATATCTGAAAACCCTGCTTTTTACTGAAAAAAGTATGCTTGATTTATCAATTAATTAAATTTAAATAATTAATTAAATTAAATTTTATTAATTTATTAAATTAATTGTGATATCTGCACAATTCCCAAGGAAAAAAGAGAACTACACTTTTTAAAGCCTTGTAGTATGCATAGAAGCTAGAATACCTTCCCTTCCCATTTAAAATCATTTGGCAAATGAAGCTAAAGTTTGTTTATGTATTTATTCTTTTAAATTTATTGGCTGCCCAAATCCAGTGAATGGTATGTTGTAAATGGTATGACAGGCCTTGAGCACAGACAATTCAAATATCAATTTTAACCCAGCAGAAACTTTTCTTCTACCAAAATGAGTAATAAAAATTCAGTGTTCCTAACTACAATTTCACATGGCAACAAAAAGCAGTTCATATAAATTACTTAAAAGTAGTTTAAACTATTTTTTTGTTTTTATTTTGCCAGTGTTGCTTATATCTGACAACCAGTAAATTTTCATTTCATGACCCTTTTCTCTTAATCTCCTCCTATATCATGATTAAGACATATTCAAATGATACTTGTTTTAAATTATAGGAGCTGACAGAGTCTTAAATCTTGAAAGTTCAAACACTGAAATGTTAGATTTTGCTACTATTTTATCACACACATCAGCATACACATAAACATACAATGCTACATAGGCTTGATTGCATTTTAAAAAGTGCCTAGTTCAGGTAGCTTATAATGGCAGAATTTTTGAAAATCTTTATAGGCAATAAATAATGAACAAATCAATATATTTTTAAAAATAGAAGTAATAAAAGCAAAACATATATCTTTCCCTTTTGAAGCAGTTATTAAGTGGACTCAACTATATAAAAATAATAAAGGAATCAAGGAAATCTTTCTACTTGCCACAGTGGCAGCGCAGTGGCATTATTATTTATTTAATGAAGTTATTTCTATGCTACTTAAGGGCCTAAACGAGGACTTTTAAAGTCAGGTATAATAAAGTAAATTAAATGGAGGACAGAAGAAGAAAATGCAATCCCAGAGTTACATCTTGGTGAACTCTATCAGAATATCTTGATCTCACTAAATGGTGTCCTCAAGCATGGTTTGTTGAATCAAACACCATTATTAGATTTAATACAATATGCTAATGTGGTTTGTTTTGTTTTGGTTTAGTGTGATGCATGAACTCTGCCACTGAATATTAAGATACTAATTTTCCTTTTTTCTTCTGCGTCCAGTGATTTTTACATTAAAAAGTCAGCTCTTTTAGGATTAAACAACTTTCAGAGGTCAGAGAAAAGGATTCTATATCTGTACTACTTACTTGTTGGGTTCACACATTACATTAAGATGAGGCTAAAATGGGGTTGGGAATGGGTGATTGTTGTTGTGCAGTTTAATGTTGTTTTAGAATGTTATGTGGATCATGACATTACATTAAATCATAATATAGTTAATTTGTTTGCCTATGGCGTGTTACATGAACATAGCAATTATCTTTTGCTAATATTGGTTTGGGATTTAGATGTAGTGTAGTGGATTTTATCAGACACTTTTTCAGGTAAAGAAATTGTATCACACCATCTGTCTATTGAAATATTATCCAGATAGTTCCATTATTTAGCAATGACTAATTTGGCTGTTATAAGTAAAATTACTTTAAATTTAATTACTTTTTACTTAATTACTTTTTTAGCTTGCAATTTCTTATTCTGGCTATCAGGCATGTGTCACAAACCTAATCTTGAAGAGAATTCAATCTTAAATCTTAGGTATGTCTTAAATGTCTTTAAATACATTCTTCCCAAATCTCATAGTTTATTGCATTCCCACCAAAGGAGAAAGAATATTCCCTTCAAATTACAGCATCTTATTGTTTATTTATTTAGCATATTTATATAACTGCCCATTTCATAAAGATGTGACTCTCAGCAGTGTACAAACATGGCAACAGTTTAAAAACTACATAACAATCTAAAAACAGTCAAAGATAAATAAGCATATAAAAAACCCCAAGACTGTGGGAGAACAAGTCACGTGATCTCATGCAATCACCTTGCAGGCTTCCCATGGGATCCCCAGGGCTGATGAAAAAAACATGTTTTAAGAACCTCCCAGAAGGCTAACAAAGATGGGGCTAACCTCACCTCAGGGGGAATGATGTTCCAGAAAGTGGGGGCCACAGCAGAAAAGGTACACTGCCTGGGTCCTGCCAGATGGACCTCTTTTGGAAATGGGACCTGCAGCATATCCCTCTTGCCTGATCTGGTGGGATGGGAGTTGTAATTGGGAAGAGACA